GGAAGAACAGCGTCAACCTCATGAGACTCCAGGAAGAGACTGGCGTCACGGCCAGCCTTAGCGAAGCCATTCCTGGCGTTGGCGAGCAAGTTCTGAGAGTGCTTGGCTCTGTAGAGAGTGCAACAGAGGTGCGAACTTAATATCCCCGCATCAACAGCTGCGGCAGTACGGTCTGTTGATACGCATACCTCGCGACGTTGCAGGCTTACTTCCTCATCGCGTCGGACCTCATCCGCACCCATCCGCTCAGATCTACATCTGTCGAGTCTGACTCTGCACCTACCACCTGTCTTCGCCTCCTGATTCCACACAACATGCTAGGCAGCATCATCGGCAGGCACGGCAGGAAGATCAAAGCCATGCACGCCTCCTCGGGGGCGCAGATCTCCACGCGCGAGCATATGCTCCCAAACTCCACTGAGCACATTATGCAGCTGTGTGGAACATCCGAGTCCATCCGCCGGGCCGTTCGTGACATCTGCCTCTGCTTCCTTGAGGACGATGAACTCTGCGCCGGCACGGTGCTATTCCATCCCGCTGCACCAGACCAGCCGTCATCGCCAGTCACACAGCCAACCGGCACCAGACCCTTCACGCGGGAGATTGATGTCCCCTCGGACATGGTCGGGAGCATCATCGGTCGTGGAGGCACCAACATCAATGAGATGAAACGAATGTCGGGAGCGGAGATCGTCATCGCGAAGGCGCCGCGTGAGGGTGTCGAGAGGCAGACGGTCACCATCGTCGAGACTTATGATGCGTACAAACGGGCGCGCACGCTCCTGTATGAGCACATCGAGAAGACGAGGAGGGCTCGCCATAGCAGGCGAAAATAGGCTTGTCGGATCCGGTCTGCTTCATATCCCTTCACACTAAGTGTAGTCGCAAATACGTTGACAATGTGAATAACAGTTTATGAGGAACGTTGCGGGTGGATAAAAGTATGTGCTGCTTACGCTTGCTGCAGTCACGTAAGCCGGCATGTTATTCACGGTATGAAAGTCTAGGTAGGATGCTAGCTTGGTCAGGAGTCGCATCGGAGTATCGGACTAGCTAGTCGATAGTCAACGTTTGCGTGTACACTCCGGTCGCGCAACGCATGCGCTTAAATATTTATATCAACATGACTCAGAACTACAGAAGACAGGACACGCACGGAAACCCTTTCAGCAGCCATCGTTCTCCCTCAGAGGGCCTATCTCCGCTTGAACACCAGTGGAGCACGCTCAGGACTACGATGCATCGTCAGCACCCCAACCTGAGATGAAGAACAGACGGGCAAAACACGCACTAGACCGTCAAGCTATGCTGGCTCTTCAGCAACCGCGCCCTCCTCTGCTCGAACGTCTCCCCTGCAAACCGCGCCTCCTCCTTCACCTCCACCCTGTACCGCACGACGATCATCGTCAGCACCGCGACACCCTCCGTCTCCGCGAAGCCCCTCCCGATGCACCCGCGCGCGCCCGCGCTGAACGGCAGGAACGCGTCGCGGTTGTAGCTGCCCAGGAAGCGCGCGGGCCTGAACGCCTCGGGCGCGTCCCAGTAGCGCGGGTTGTGGTGCAGCGCGGGCGTGCAGATTGAGCAGTAGGTCCCGGCCGGGACGGGGACGGTGCGCTTCTCGCCGGTGGTGGGTGAGGTGAGCGTGAAAGTGGTGTCTTCGACGTTAACCTTGGGGATGAAGACGACGGGGGGAAACCAGCGGAGGGTCTCGTTCATCACGCTGGTTGAGTGTTCAGCGCAAGGGAGGGGATGTGAGGAAAAGGTGGAGACGTACGCGAGCGAGTAGGAGAGCGAGCTGAAGTCTTCGTATGTCTAGGCAGCAGGGGGTTCGTAGAGACTTGGGCATATGAAAGTCGGGGACGTACCGATTTCCGATCGGCTGGGAGGACAGACTTGATGTTCTGGTAGAATGCCTCTTGCTCTTCCTGATGCAGCGCGAGCAGAATGAAGGCGTAGGCGAGCGTATGCGCTGTCGTCTCGTAGCCCGCGACCAAGAACAGGAAGACGTTACCTGAATGGGAAAAGCATGAGTGGACGTCCAGCCGAAGTCGCTGTCAAAGGAACGCACCAATCAGTGCGCTGTTCGAGAGCTTCGCCCCACTATCTAGTTCTTCTTCGTTCGCGTCCAGCAAGCTGCTGAACAGGTCGTACCGTTCCTCCTTGACCTCCGCAGATCGCCGCGCCTCCACCATCTCGGTCAAGTATCTCTACACACAGACACATATTAACGTGGTTGTCAGCATGCCCCCCACGCAGTGAATGGTACCTCAAGCTCCCTGTTCGCGCGCAGAAACTTCCGCATGGTAGGCGTGCCCAAGCCCAGCATCCAGTCGGGGAACACGACCTTCATCCACAGCCGATGAGACACCTCGTACAGCGCATCCTTGAACGTCATGCTGTGCCCCGGAGGCGCGATCTTGTCCTCGTTCCAGGAGATGCGGCGGCCGAAGCCTGCCACCCCGATGACGAGAAGCGTGATCTAAAGCAACTCGTAAGGTCGCGCTGGCAGAGCGGGGTAAAAGACACCGCGAGCACGAACCGGCACGGTGAGATCCATGATGTGCTTCACGTCGACAACCTCCTTGTCTCCCCACTCGTTCTGGAAGACGTCTTCGAGGATGTGGACGGTCTCGTCCCAGACGAGTCTGTTGTTCCTCTGCGCTCACGTCGGGTTGAGGTCAATATATACGGCTACTTATCTGAGCAGATTGGGAGTCGAGCGCACCTCCGAGAAGGCGGGGGCGACGATCTTGCGCTGGTGCTTCCACTCGTCGCCCTCGGTCGCGATGATGTTCGTCCCGAACGCCTTGAGCAGCTCGTACGCCTCGGTCGGCTTCGGGAACCGCGCCCGCGACCCGATCATCTCCTGCCACAAAGACAACGGTCTCAACCATAGCATCCCAATGGGAACTGAACGAAACTGACCTTGACAATCTGCGGATCCGCCACATAGACGTCTGCTTTGGGGTACGGGAACACATTGACCTACGCGACGTGCATCGTCAGCCAACGTTGACACCACACTCTTGACCACCGCCGGTCACCCGGGTAGTGCTGCAGGGTCCGGTCAAGTCCGGTTTTCGGACCCCCGAGTGAGGGGACCGGGACCATGACCAGACGGGATCGTATTTATTTGGAGCGGACCGGACTGCGCAAACGGTCCTCGTGAGACAGGACCGGACCCCGGTCCCATAACCGGTCAAGACTGGTTTGCGGTCCTTCGCGGTCATGACCGGTCAAGACCACCTCGCCCACCTCGCGCCGGGCAGAGGGCTCGAATCATCGGCAAGTCACCCTAGTACCGCACCGAGGCCATTGCCCGACTGTGTTCCACCGCTGGAAGCACCTAAACATAGCAGGCATCTGTGTTGGGAACATCCAAGGTAAGAGATAGATTATTCTGTAGCTGAAGGCGCATAGCTCACTGGAGCACATTTCAAGCAGTCAGTGGCAGTCGCGACGAGCGTGTCCCCGAGCTGGGAGGTGGCCTGAGGGCAGGCTAGCGGGGCTCGGCAGGGGGCTGCCGCTGATCCGAGCACACACCCCGGTGCGAGGAATGCGGCGCTGGTTTGTACATCCGCCGGAAGACCGGTCCCTATTAGTATCAGTCCTTTACGGTCTTTTCGGGCGGTCCTGGACCGGTCATGACCAGTCCTCCCTGATCCTCACGAAGGTGTAATTCACCAGGACCGGAACCGGGACCATGGACAGGACCGCCTGCGTAGCGGTCCTGGTCCTGTCGCCATAGGGCCTGCTCCGGTCACAAGACCAGTCTTCAGCGGTCCTGGGAGTGGACCCAGCAGCACTACGCGGGTGTGTCGATGTAGTGGTGATTGTGGCTTGCGGCGCAGGGAAGGACGTAGACGAGAATTGGCGACGTACTGCGGTGATCAAGTCCCAGCCCGTCTTCGCAAAGTCATTGTGCTTGGTGTAGAAAGGCCATTGCATTCCAGGGGCTATCCCCCTGATCCTGAACGGAATGAGGAGGAACCGGTCGTTGAACAGCGTGCGGAAGCCCGGCCAGTCGCTGTCGTGTCCAGGACGCGCCAGTATGAGTACGGATCTCCAATGCCAGACAGATATGCGCCCAGGTGCGGGACTGGTCCACGTACTCGATAAGTCGTACCTGTTCACGAAAGGCAGAGAACTTCTGAAGGAGGAAGACGGCGGTGAAGACCCCAAGAAGGACATAGACTTGCCCGCTTTCGAGCATGTTTGAGAGTTCCATTGGCAGGCGGGACTGCCAGTGGTGGAAGTCAAAACGCTGTACGTGGCTTGTCAGAGACCCCACAGATCCCGTGCTTCATTCCGGATGGTCAGTTGACATGTTGTCTATCCATGCGGTGACCTGTGAGAACTTCGAGCACTGTGGATGGGCGACGCTAGGCAACACCGGGAATTGCATGTCAGTGTAGGCGCCGAGATCGAAATTCGCACCACGTCCACGGCTGGCGTCAACCAAAAGCATGGAAATCGGGAAATAGGCCTTTGCAACGCCAACTTCAAGTGTATCTTCGTTGGGCCGGAGCCAAAAAGCGTCCTACTATTTAACACACAGTAGCAACTCCTGGTTTCGATCCAGGGACTTCAGGGTTATGAGCCCTGCACGCTTCCACTGCGTCAAGTTGCTATACCTGAACGGCGTATAAATAGGTACCGAGTCCTCATTTACTCATTGTCTCCGCCCATGGTTCGCCATAAATCGCGAGCTGAAGCGCTGAAGAACGACATGATACCAGGCTGAGGAGCTTTCCTCCTCGATCTCTCCAAATTTCCTGCTCGTTGTTACGGAAAAGTTAGACACAAAAGTAGAGATGTGTAGTCTGCGAGTCCGGAGTTTGTTCCACACAGGACGGTGATTCAGTGTTCCGAGGGCCTGAGGCACAGGCGCGGGCACTTCGGTGAAAAAAGCGTAATCATCTGGACTGAGTGAGGCTAGGACCTAATCTTGACCGCCCCAGCTAGTCATAACTTGTTCGGTATATACTCGAGTCAGCGGCATGGCTACCATTCACTCAGCTGAACAACTAATTCAGGCCTACAACGCAGGAGTCGTGACAAGAGCATAGAGGGCCATACCTCGGCTTTGACTTTCACAGAGATCGTAGCGCGCTCCGGCGACAATGCGAGGGACAAATATCGATGTCCAGCTCACCACAAAACTTCGGACTAGGAACGCAATCACAGGCACCCGTCACTTTCACGCTTTCATCCTGATTCTAC